GCATGCGCACATAGGAAAGTTCTTATGGCTAAAACCCATCAATCATATCATACTAGCACATAAACATAACACAGGTAGTAGTAGCCCTAGATGAAAATCACAGAGACAATCATCTAAACATACACTCCTACTAGTGGGCCGGCATTGTGGCCTTAGACCCACTGCTGCTGGAAGGTAACTCACCTCGTAGTAGCTGCTGAACTGTGCGGGAATCCTCTGACTGCTGCCGCTGTTGCTCCTCCGGAAATCCTCCGGCTATAAATCCCACAAAACACTCAGTCAGAAACTGACATCTATTCTTAGGGTAAAATGACCATTTTACCCCTGACCAAGTCAAAGTCAAAGTCAGCTTCTAGTTGACCTAACTCGCCAAGTTGGCTCCCTATCCTTCCATTAGACCTGAAACCCATCGTTACTCGTCAAGTTAGGTGATGACTCGACGAGTTTTCATTCTAAAAGAACACCGACTAAATCCACATCCGACTCACCGAGTTGTATGAACAACTTGTCGAGTACCATGAAGATTTCCTTGGACTCGTCGAGTCCGTTCATGCACTCACCGAGTAATATGAATTCCCATAACACTTTGCTTAGTCCAGAACGTTGGGTCACTCCCCGGGAATCCTAAAAACCCTTCCACACTCAACTGGTCCTTATGACACTTACTGATATGGGACCAAAACCCCTGGACTCGCCGAGTGCAGGAATGGACTCGTCGAGCCTATCTCATTCCTTACCAAGAACTTCGATTTCTGATGTACAACACTTAACCAAATGATAGATCCAAGCCCCTAAACTCGATCTAGCATGTAATGTTACAAACTTTACATGCATGCATGCATGGGACATAAGAGCTTAAAAGGCTCTAAAATGGTTCTTTTGTTGCATGGGGCCTTCCTTGGTACAAAAAGCAACCTAGATCTGACTTGTGGATCATAAAATGACGTGATATAGAAGCCCAAACCCCCAACCATGTTTGCAAACATGGTTGGCCACCAAAAATGGCTTAAAAAGCCCTAAATCACCTCAAAGAGGGATCTAACAAATGAATGAGCAAGGTTTAGACTTTATACCTTCCAAAGACTGCAAATGATGAACCAAACTCGAATCCTTCAGTCCCCTCTTGATCCTTCGATGCTCTTCCTTCTTCCTTGAGATCAAAACTCACAAGAATGACTCAAAAAACCTTAGATCTTCACAAAAACTGTTAGGGTTTGCTATGAGGAGCGTTTGGGAGCATTAAAGGGGAACGAGGCTGCATAAGGTCGTTTAAATAGGATTCAAATCCCTGGATTAGGGTTTTTGTCCAAACAGCGCCTACTCGCTGAGTCCGGGACCCGACTCGCCGAGTCCGCAGCTCAAACCTCGCGCCTCATCCCGCTTCTACTCGGCAAGTCAGTCCTTCGACTCGCCGAGTCCATGGCTAAAAATGCAAAAATAAATGAAGATTTAATAACAGAGTACGTACCAAGAACCAGGTGCTACATTATGAAATATTCAATTTTTTCCAGTGCTACTCTCTATTCACCTGAGGTTTCTTTTGAAAAAACAATGGACTCACACTTGTAACATTCCATATCGATTTCATCCTCTTTCAATTAATGAAAGGGTAAAATCATCTTGTGAATTTTCTTGCCAATCTCATAATTTAAATGCAACTAAGTGGTATTGAAAAAAAGTCTATTGGCAATCAAACAAAAATATTGCGTTGTGTTAAAAGACTCAATTTCTCTCTCTCTCTCTCTCTCTCTATCTATCTATCTATCTATCTCTCTAAATAAATTGACTCATCCCTAGACTTAGACAAATCAGACTCCAACTTTTCAATCCATATGCGTCTCTCTTCACTTTTCGACGAAACCCCACCAAGTTTATCGGTTAAGTTAGAATTTCTTAAGCGAGATTATTTTAAACTATTACTAAAACTTGAAAATGTTATTTTAAGTTGTTCATTTCAGTTTCATATCTAGATATAAGAATATTCATAGATTCAAGAATAGAGTTTACCTTGTTGATGACCTGCTTACATTCTCTTATTTGGTTAGGAACTGGTTTCTCATCGAAACAACTATCGAAGTCACGTCCTCCATCAATTATATAGCGTCTCATCTCGGATACTCCACTTGTAACCATCAAATTAACAACTTCCATTGAGCTGCGAATTTTCATCCTTCAATGCGAAGCTCCTTCAATCAGTAGGTCTGTAAACCTCTTCATCTTCAGATTCAGTCGACCATACTTCAACTCTGCCAAACTCATCTTCAGCTTCCTTTTCCTGCACTATCAAAGCAGGCATGGTGTTATTAGCGTTCTTCTTCTTTTTGATCTGTTACAACTTTTGGAGATAATAAGCTTCATCATCCTCACCCTCCATCTTCTCGTTTAATCTTCTTACCATGCACTCCTTGGCCAGGTGGCTTTTTCCATGACAGTAATTACAATCATAGCCAGAGTCCCCTATAAGCTTTTAATCCTTTTTTTGCTTCTTCTTACTGAGAGTTATACGCATTCTCCTCCTTCACTTTCTCCAAGCTGTAACCGCCCTACCAATTTTGGTTTTTATTGTGGAAAAAGCTAAAGTTCTTCTTCATAAATCTCTTGGGATTAGACACCATCAGCACGAACTCTTCCTTAGTTACTTCACAACTAGAGAGATCAGACTCAGAACCATAACCATCTACTCTCTTTTTACCCTTTGCAACGAGGGCCAGTGATCGCATTCCAAAAATTATCTTCCCTTCTTTCGTCACTTCATCCTCATGTGACCTCAGTATTGTAACCAACTTTGCCAACGTGTAGTTCTTGAACTGCTCATGCGCTTTTACTGTCTAAATGATAGCCATCCATTTAGATCTAAGTCTGTTCATGAAAGTGACCTTTTTCTCTATTAGTTCACATCCAATCTTGTGCTTCATCATCCTACTGAGAAATTGATTTAGCAATTGAAAGTTTGATCCAAACTTTCTTCAGGATTTTGTACAAAAGCTCCAAACTCTGAAAGTAAAAGAGTCTAGGTGGAATACTCAAGATCAACATCAGTTGAATATAGTTCTTTGAGCCTATCCCAAATGGCTTTTGTTGTGTCGTATGAACTAACCAAACAAAAAGTGTTTGGTGGCAAAGCAAACCTGATGATTCTTAATTCTTTAACGTTACTTGTTAACCTATCCTTCTCATCCTATGATACGTCTTTAACATCAAGAAGAAGCTTGTTATAGTCGGCTTGAGTTTTGATTTCTCTTCTTGTTCATGTATGAGTTAACGTCTAGACAGTAATGGCTTCCTAGATCAAATAGCCATTGTCTTCAAGCCCAAGGATGTAGTTCTCAAAATGCAATGCCCACACTTCATAATCATTAGGAAAAGGAATGTGAATTCTGGTTGTGAATCCAATGCTACTTGAAAGATTTTGAGTTAACGTGAGAATCATCTGTCATGTTTAGAGATTAATGAAACCTGTATGAATCAGATGTGTAAACTAAACGGTTTTTGGGTAATATCAAGAACAAAGATTAGCATCGATAATAATGACGACGGCTGAACCTGATCCAATAATAGCGGAAACCCTAAAAACACTTTCAACAGAAGAGATGTGTATAGATTACACAAAATATGAATCAAGAATATGTTGAATGTTTAAAAGTCCGAGCCATAGAAGAGCCATAGAAGAGCTCGATGAAGAATTGCTATTGTAGAGGTTGTGTAGGGTTTACAATAACACAATTAAGAAATACACGATCCATGCATGCACCTTAAATAGTAAAACCATAGTCATTAAACACGAGTGGACATGACCAACCCGGAAATACAAAATACTAAGCAAACGGCCCAAAAGACGCAACACTAAAATACTCAACATAGATGATGACATTAATGATATTGTATTTGTTATAGAAGAATTTTCAAACACTGAAGAAATTTGCGAAGATGCTCATTTGGATTTTGATCCATGATTTATTGGTTTACGATTTCTGTGCTTAGAATCATAAGTATCGACTTGGATTATCCAATGCTGAATTTCTTGTAACCCAGAGATAAGGTAGAAATATCAGTTTGAAAAGTGATATAACGATCCAAGTTGGTATCAAGACCTCGACCACAAACCCTAATTTTTTTTACAGAGGAGGACCCAAGCAATGCCACCATTTTCGTATTTCTTCCCATAGGTATTATAAAACACCTACTAAAAGAACATATGATCTTGGACATTATAGGGATCGTCCTTGTCTAATACGCCAATAGAGAGACTAAGTAATGATTTGAGTTGTCTAAACACTTACTGTCTTTGAGATCCATTTGAAGCAATACCTCAGAGGTAATATATGAAAGTAGGCTCTTATACCTACATCTAACATCCTTGATACCTTATTCTTCTAGAATGAAGAAATCATTTTTAGATCATATTCTTATTCCCTCAAAAGGTTCATTTAATGTTCAAATATTTCTTCATATTGATCAATCTGTAGCTTGCCCTTGATAACTAATATCAAAATCATTACAACAACTCGATTTCTTCTTATGTAAGTGGATGAGCATATAAAACATCACAAATGTTTGGGTTTTTTCAATCTATGTCGACTACCATCAAGTCCTCTATGTTGGTTCATCTTATGTGGATACAAATCAGGGATGCATACGAATAGTGAGGGCTAATTCTTTTTTATTTCATATCATTGAGGTTTTCTTGTGATGGAGTTTAAGATGATTTATCAATTTTGGAAACATTCATGTGTTCTTCGTTTCTATAAGATATAACCACTGCAACAAATGCTACATATAACTATGAAAACTATTAGGTCAACTAAATTTGAGAATGAAAATTTATCATTCTCAAGGCTTAATCATAACATATTAATAACTGATCATACCCGTTCACGAGTATAAGTCCTGATACGACCGGTTAATTAGGCACTAATATAAAGTAATATTTTTACTTTTATTACACCATTAAAAAATTTTGTATATTGAAGCTAAATCGCGTGCCCTATTTATTTAAGGGTACTTGCTTGTTGAAAGTCAACAACACGAAAATCAGAGGCTCTAACTATTATGCAACATCGTCACAATCGCTTTATCTCAAATCAGTAAAGATTCAGTAGAATCCCTCAAAAGCATTAACAGCCATAACAATATTAATTATTATCCAATAAAAACAATTCTGCATGACTTGCAATCCTGGCGTCCTTAAAAAAATATTACTCAAGCTTCACCATGCATAGTACAATCAGGATGCAGGAAGCAACGAAATCACACTATGATTATATCCTCCACTTGATTTTAATTTCTGTTATCAAAAAGCAAAATGTAATTTAGTATAATCATATTCATATCTCCATTTGATTAGTAGTTAATGGTTGTTAAGAGTAACAATGCAAACTACAACAATTAGGCAGACGCTCAAAGTACACTATACTAGCTTGGTTTTCTTAAATTTTAGTTATTGATAGTATTTGATTTAATTGAGATCTTATTTTCCAATATCGCTGATCATATGTGAAGTGTTTAATTAACTAAGAAAACGCTAACAAGTCTTCAAGAGAAAAGAACTTTATGGAGTTATCAATGGATGCAGCAGTTTTCTTCTTGCAGGAAGATCGTCATGATCTACACAACTCTGCAATTGCTGCTGCCTATAAAAATCTTCTTTAATTCTTATAATTCTTTAAGAGCAATGTAGATTTATGATCACTATAATGAAGAGTAACGATTTTGGGTTTTATTATAATCAACGCTTGCTTAGTTTTATGTTTAGGTTTTATTAAATTTGTAGATTGGGTGTGTTTAGGATTTTTCTTACATTTTTTTTGTTGTTGTGTTCTTTATCTTCTAAACCATCCTGATCAAACCCTAATGAGGATAACCATCAAGATCGAACAACATGAGGATGATGTTCATCTATTGTTAATTTGCCTAAATGTCTAATTTGAGAATTTTTAATTTTTTTTAATTACAACAACTACGATGTATTGACTAAAATCAATGATCAAATATTCAAATATATAATTAAACCCTTAAGAGCTTTCCATTCTCAAATTTAGTTCACCAAATTAGAAGGTTACTAGAATACTACTATGTTGTTTTAGGTCAAATAGCTACACACCTTAGTGCAACATGGTCAGTAATCAGTATGGTTTCACTTCGTATCAATCAAGATTCAATAGATCTAGAAGCATCAAAAGATACGTACCGATATATATCGATTATTAACTCCTATTAACTAATCAACAACAATTGACTTACATCCTTAAAATATGGTCACTCCAATTCCACCATTAATGACTATTGCCGATCAACGATCACAAGGTTGCAGGATGCGCTGAAATCACCTTATGATCATCTCCTACACTTGATTTGAAGTTCTGTTAACAGAAAACAAGAAAAATTACTAAAATTATGCATATCAGATTGATTACTACTGCATGCTCAAAATCACAGTAGATTGTTGTCCTTAAATTTTAGATCTTGATATGTTTACATTTCAATGAAATTTTATGTTGCAATGTTCTCTCAATTATCACGTCTTTAATTGTTATCGTTTTATCACCATACAATTTGGATGCTAGGTTTAAAGTGGTTACTTGGTAGTCAAAATCATCATGAACTACTGTCGTCAACTCATCATCAAGCTTTCTGATTCGCATCTTCTCTCTCACCCTTTCTCTTGCTCTCGCTCTTGCCATGGCCCTTGAGTGGCCTCTTTCAAGATTATCTTGAAATACTCCATTTGATTTTCGTTTACTTTGCTTCCCTTTTCCTTCAACATATTTGATTTCTGATTTCTTTTTCGATTTGCCCCCATCACGTACACCCATAACCGCTTCCAGAAAACTCGTTTTTGACTGATAAGACGCTGTGGAAGATGAGTAGAAATTTGTTTCTTCAACCAACTCCTTAATCGGTGTCTTGCACTTCGAAAAGAGCCAATCAAGGGTTTTACTTGCTTTATCAAAACCTAACAAGTCTTGAAGACAAAAGAACTTTCGTGAGATGTCAATGGACAATCTCATTCTCCGATCCCTGGGGCCTCGAGCTGTGTAGATCTTACTATGCCCATCTTTTGATGCCACCGTTTTCTTATTGCAGGGTGAAATTACCGGTTGTAGAAGAACATCATGATCTTCACAAGTTTGCAACACTTGTTCTACAGAAAACAACGTCTTCTTCCTACATAAATCTTGCTTTACTGTAGAAATATTATATATGTCCGGAGAAGGAGGAGCAAGACTGTTATTTGTATCGTGAAAACAATCGCCGGAGATAAAAGGGTCGCTATTATTCAGGTGGTAGTTACAGCAAGAACAATCATTTTTATGGTAAAAGAGAAAATTAGGAGGAAAGAAGACATTGGGGGATGACGGAAGCTCGGGAAAAGGGTTTGAGCCTGAGGAAAACATTGTTAAGAAAAATAAATAATATTTGAAACCCTCACATCCAGGTTGCTTTAAGTGTATCTTTTAGGGCACAATTAGGTAAACTCACGTAGTAGTCTCCATCGAATTAATAAATATAGGTAATGAAGATATAGTTACATTCAAAGTTTGTCTTTACATGCTTGACAGAAATATTATATGGGGATTTTTTGTTCTTTTTGTAAACTTTGTGAAAGAATTGACATAAATGATTGTGTAGTCTCATTGCCTGCATTAATATTTTAATTTCGACATGTCCAAATGAAACTCTATAAATAGATCAATGGTTTTTGTCGGAAACTAAGAAGTGAAAATAAATTTAGAGTTCGTTTCATATTTACCGACCGGTTTAAAGTTTGTTAGGTTAGAAACTGATTAGATTAGAAATCATGCTTGAGTTCACATCTCACTCAATTTATCCTATTTCATTTTTATTCTTATCGATTTTGTTGAATGAAAAAAATAACCATATTATCTTTATGTGGTTTCTTGTGCTGCATAAAATAATTATAAAACTACAAAATGTCATATAAAATCCAAATTAAATGTACATCATTAAAAATCCAAATATAAATCATCATAAAAAAATCCAAATACAAATTATCATACATTAAAATTATGACTATTTTTTAGTTTCTCTACTGCTAAAGACTACTAACCTGCTTTTAGTCCACTGCCCTCTCAATCATTAATTTTTAGTTCATGTAACATCCTATTTCGAAAAGTTTTGTATTTCAGGATTGTTAACAATAAATTGATCAAGTAAAAACTTTTAGCTTGAAGGGAATAAAGGTTAGACCTTATCAGATGTTGATAATGTTAGGTTAAGTTATTAAATCCATTGAATTGTGCTTCGAAGCATAACGGTTAAGATGGGAAAAATAATATTTCAGGCTTCTTGCATGGATTATGGTTTTAGTTCGGTATGTTTAAAGTTAAAAATAATTAAACATGATTGTGAGACGCTTCAATACATTTACATGAGAAGCCTAAGGTTTGCTCATCCTCAGTCTCCATCAGTTCCCTCAAGCCTCAAATAAACCCTAGTTACTTTCCTCCATTATCAAGCTAGTTTTGGTGTCCTTGAAGCTAAAGAAGGTAGAAGAATGAAGAATGAAACGTAGATCAAGAAAGAAAGCCTCAATTCTTCACATTAGTACTCTTTTGGACATGTTTAAGTGTCCGAGTCTCGATTTTTATCATGTTAGGTTGCTAGATCTTGAGTTTTATCCCATAAACTTTTGTTCTTGGTTGTTGGGGTGATGAGATCTCATAAAGTTTGCAACTTTATGAATATCTAGGATATTTTGGTACAATTTGTGCCTTGTATTTGGAGTTCGGTTGTATTTTCAAGCCATGCATGAAATTTTGGTTATAAACACTCATTTAGACCTAATAAGGGTTTAAGACATGCATTGGACATACATATCTATAAAGCATGGAGTTTTAGGTTAGTTTTGGTGCTTGAGTCAATTATAGAAAGGATGGGTTTTGGACTTTTTGAATTAAGAGCTTATTTATTAAGTTTTACATTGTTAAGCCTCTTGGACTTAGGTTTTGGACATTTTGGACCAGATCTTAGCTTTGGGGTTCTTGGAATTGAAGAAAATAGCTTAATGTACTAAGTTGTTGGAATCTTGGTAACCACGGTGTGGTCCTAGGTAACCACGACATGGCGTCTGTGATTTTCCCGCCTATTTGGTCGTATGGGAAACACGACATGGCCAAGGAAGACCACATTGTGGCGGTTGGTTGGAGTCAACAATGGTTGTTCACTTTGACCGTTGACCTTGGGAGTTGAATTTTAGATTGTGGTTGTTGTTTAGTTGTTAATGCCTTATTGGAAAGATTAAAGTCTCTCCTTGTGTTATTATATAGGTGTCATCTAACACATGTTGTGTGATTTTAAGACCGTATTGACTACTAAGCTACTTTACGAGGTGAGTTTCCTTCACTATACTCATGGGTTGAAGGCACTAATGCCGACCCACCGAATTATGGTTAGAGGTTGGTAGTTATCTTTGTGACAATTTCTTGCTATGCATATATGTGATTTTTATATCTGTAACTCTTGTTGTTATGATTATATGCTAGTTGTAGGGGGTAAAATAGATTAGATACCGGTTAAAAGAGACCGAAGGGGTTGAAATATATCCTATACCGGTTGAAAGAGACCGAAGGGGTTGAAATATACCCAATACCGGTTGAAAGAGACTGAAGGGCTTGAAATATACACAATATTATTTAAAAGAGACCAAATGTGTTGAAATATACCTAGTAGCGGTTGAAAAAGACCGAAGGGGTTGAAATAGACCAAATTATGTTTTTACTATTATGTGTGTATGTTATAGGGTATTTTCTAGGTTCTCACTAAGCTTTGTGCTTATAATTTTTAGGTTGTGTTTCAGGTATTTCCAGCTCGAAAGTTAAGGGCCTGACATGATCATACCGCATTTACTCGTGTTTTTCGCATTACGTGATTTTGGGATTTTGTACACTGATGTTATTTCACTATCATAAACTTTTTGTTTTTTTTATATGATTATTGGATGTTTTAGAATGGTTTAAAAACAAAATTTTAATCTGAAATTTTTTGGATGTTACAAGCTAATATCAGAGCCATGGTTTATGGGATTCAGACATACTCTCAGGTGTGTCTAAACTCAAGATGAGGGTTTGGTAGATTTTCATAAAAATAAATATTTTATAAATATATTTCTAGTAAAAAGAAGGGGGTATGATGCATGCAATCAGCCAAGCTCAAGTAAGTCTTCCTAAAATATCCATACATGCTAAATGTTTTATGTTATGATATGAGAATCACATGATAGACTAGGGCTAAGTATCTGCTTAGGATTACATGATAGAATGCTAGGAGAGATGCCTTTATGTGCCTATTGTATGAGCTTATAGATTTGCATGATAGTATGATATAAGTTATCTGATATGATGACCTGTTTAGGTTATGTTCTGATTTTAATTGCTCAAATGTTGCATCCTTTGTGCTTTTTGGAATTCTCATCAGTAACAACCGACTAGTCAGCGAATGTGCTTGGTTACATATTGTTGAGATTAGATAATTTTATAAGATTGGGTTTAACGCTATTGAAGAACGCTTGTTTGAGTCCAACCGTTGTAGTATGGGACCTTTCATTCAAAGAATTATCTAGTACTGATGGTATGTAATTATATTCGTGTGTTAGATGATATTAGAGGGATTTCCTTCTGTAGCTGATAATAGAGGGTGGTAAGGAAAGGAACCCTAGGAAGTTCCTGCGATATGTCTTGGCGTGTAAGATGCTTTACAGTATGAGAGGAGTATTAGATAGAAGGGAGTGACTTGGAGGGTTAGAGATAGTCCTTAGGGAGGGTATAGATAGGTATGGAAGGTAGTATTGGACCCATACTACTTGAAGCACAAGATTTATACCCCAAGGCAAGGAAGACCAATATGAATCCATGAAACTCGACATTGTGAACGTCTTTGTGTGTATACTGATTGTTTATGTGTTATGTTTCAGCATGGTGATGACAACCATAGGGCAGGAGGTTCAGGATCTAAATTTGGTTCGGGCTCAGGCACCAAACCAATTAATGAGGGATTACGCTGTTTCATTGCGTCTAAGGTTACTAGAGGTATCTTAGATGTGACCCCGGTGATGTTTGGGTCGATCGAGGAGGGTATCATTGTGTTGATGGAGGATTGTCTTCATATCTTTAGGGACGATCTGGCAACTAGAAAGTGCCCGCACTCCCTCCTTCAACGATTTCAGGGGATGTTCGACGTCAATATCCTTTGGGGCGAAGGACCACATTTTAGCCAAGTAATCGATGGAAAATATTCAGTGTGCCTAAATGACAAGCTTTTTCCCTGTAGAGTCGAAGGTGAGGTTCGCTGCAGGATGTCTAAGGAAGCGATCTCGAGATTGGTGGGATGAGCTTGGCTATACTCTGGGAGGCCAAACCATTGAGGCCATAACCTGGTCGGACTCTATGACCCATTTCCGGGTAGAGTTTTCACTCGCTATTGAAGTGCAACAGCTAACAAGGGAGCTCCTAGATATGCCACAGACGACAGATACCATGGCAGATTATTAAGTCATTTTTAGTGTTGTGTCAGAGTAGTTGTTTTCGGAGTTTTGTTTAGCTCCGATACCGAAATGGTCATGTCTATTTTCAAAATCATTATTTTTCATGTCTATATATAGAGTATTGTAGCTATCTTTTTAATGGACCTTAACCGAGCATAGGCATAATAGTTTCGAACTTGTAAACGAAGTGTTCTTATGCTGAGTAAATGGAAACATGTCTCACTTCAATCATTATCGTTTAAAATCATTAATTCATTTCTTACTTTGTCAATTAATATAGAATCTAATGATCATTTTAACTCTATCAATTGGTATCGGTAGGAGATAGTGTAATCTAATCACTATTCTTCTGTCGTGTTAAGGGTTTTTCAATTCGTTTAGATCTATTTTTTTCTCTCAATCATTTGCGCATTTTGCAATTTCTTTGTTGCTACTTCATTGTAGATCATAGATCTAGATACTTTACTTTCCCTTGAACTAGATTCAAGCTTACACATCTGATTCTATATTCAATTTCATTGAACATTCGCTAAAATACCTAACAACAATCTTCACTCTCTCTCATTCAATCTTCCGAGCAGTATTGGATCAACAACAAGGATTCTTATCCTTTTTCCTTAAGATTACGAAGTTTGGGCTCTTCATTTCGAAGATTATATGATGGGAATTTGTTGGGCTTTGTAGATTGCGTCTTTTGGGCTCGACTGATCATGTTATTTTGTATTCCGGTTTGGGCCTGTCCAACCGTGAACCTTTTATGTTTTGTATATAAGTTTACGCTTGCATGCATATTAGGTTAAGGTTTCAGAGATCTGGGTATAGAGAAACATCTAGACGACAACAGGTTTCTTTGATCGTTCTTATAACCTTCCAATCCTCTACAGTTGATGTTCTTAATCGAGCTCTT